CCATTGGGTATTGTCACATTCAAATACTGTCTGTTAATAACTTAGTGACTAAGCTATCTGTCAGCTAAGGAGACATCACATACATTAACAAGCTCAGTGTTCAGAGACATTTGGATGGAATTAAATTGTAGGGTAGTGGTTAATAAAACAATATTTAGAAGCTTCCAGGTGTAAGTACAGGTTAAGTATCTCCCAGCTTGTTACACAGGGCAAATTATTACATCTCTAGAAGCCTCAATTAATCCACAGCACCTAAATTACAGGTGTCTTAGTCTGTTCCAGCTGCTCTAACAGGAATACCATAGACTAGGTGGCTGAAGCAACAAACATTTATTTCTCATAGTCCTGGAGGCTGGGAAGTCTAAGATCAAAGTGCCAGTAGATTTGGTATCTGGTGAGCTCCTGCTTCCCGGTTCATAGATGACCATCTTTTCACTCTGCCCTCACATGGCAGGAGGGGCAAGGGAGCTCTCCAGGGTCTGTTTTGTAATGGCACTAATCCCATGCATGAGGGCTCTATCCTCATGACCTAATCACCTCCCAAAGGCGCCACCTCCTAGCATCATCACATTGGGGGTTACGTTTCAACACATGAATTTTGGGAGGAAACAGATATTCAGTCCATAGCAACACAATTGTTGTGAAGTTTGAGTGATATGCCCTAGATAAAACACTAGGCATAGTACTTGGCATATAGTAAGTGCACATAAACAGGAACTAGCTTTTATGTTAATTATTGGTGAAACCTAGACCTTTAGCTACTAGGACTCTTAATAACAGACACTAGCACTAGCTTATTAGAACTCTAAATAAATTAAATGGTGTTTTTGCGATGCCCTATCGTACAGTTTCAGTAAGTGCTTATAGCATGTTGACCATGTTGTAAATGCACAGTAAGATATTCTGCACCGGCTGATGTCTTCTAAATATTATGAATCATTTTTTCCTTTTCCCAGTCAATATGAGAGGAATGCAGTATCGGTTTACATGGGAACAGTGAATGATGCCACTGCAATATCTACCTTTTGGTTAGAAAACACTATTGATTCTGAAGTCTTCGTAAATTGTTTTATGAATCAACCCCAAGACCTGTTATTTTACTGGAATGAAGCATGCACAAAAATAGAGGACATGCTTAGAGCCTTCAGAGATTAAACTGAACTTCTTTGATCATTTGTATAAAAGTTAAATCTTTACCAGTTACCTCTGATTGTCCCTCTAGAGACTAAAGTTAAACTCTGATTCCACTTTAACAAATAATGAGGTAGAAATCCTGGAGAAATCGATGTCTTGTAACATATATAGAGCAGGGGATCTGGACCCATTTACATGTGAATACAATCCAAAGATAATTTCTGAGATCTTTTTATAATTATTTGAAGTTTAACTTCACCATGTTCCTTCCCTTGGTCAATCTGTTGCCCTATCATTTCTAATGTAGGTAACTCAGATAGGGAACACTGTGAAACATACACCAAAGAACTTGAAAATATGGTATGAATAAGATTTTCTCTTGTGACCTAAACTAAAAAAAGAAGTTAAAGAACAAATCAGCCAGAAATGTTCACTGCCACATTAAAAAATAAAGTAAAACAAAGGTTTCTAAGACCAAAGTTTGAATACTTTTTTATCAGAGGGTGGGGACTTAGCCAATGGAATTGAGTACTAGACTAGGTTTCATACATTGAGAAAGATAGCCGTACACTGAGAAATATTTTTTAAGATCTGTATATTTGCAGCAAAGAAAAAAGTCTACTCCCAAAACACATTCTGAATATTCTTTTGCTCCATAGAGATTTTCCTAGAGGGAGATGCTCTGCATCTTTATAACTAACATGGCTACAAGTATTCTGGTTCCTGTAATTGTTCTGGTCTTGTTCTAGTAAAAATCAGTTGGCATTGGGCTTTAGACAGCCATCCCAGTGAACTACTTTATGTGACTCAGCATCTGAGAAACCAGTCTGTGAATTCTGAGCCTGTATGACTGTAGGCCAACCCTGGCTCCCAGCCAGTTCACCCAGGCACCATGCCTCTCTGAGGCTTCTTGGCAAGCAGCCAGTAAGCTTTCCCTGGGACGTCCTATCTTACTCCATACTCTCCATTTAAATGGCTTCAGCAAGTAACAATCCTTAGAAATCTTCAGAGAAATTTTTTCCCCTCATTCATGGACATTAGGCTAAGGAATAAGCCAGGGAGGTACAGTGGCTCACAAGAAAAGAGCCCAAGTGGAAGAATAGATGATAACAACTTTAGAAGTGAGTGGGGAGGGGCAATAGACAGGGGACATAGGAGACCGTGGGGACCAGAGAAGAAAAGAAACAGCCCAGAGAGCCGGATATATTCCCCACATTATAATGTTGACCAGAATCCCACATGCCTCAGGAGAATGCCTTTCCAGGCCTTTAGTAATAATAACACTTGAGCACACAATTATTTTGCGAGGAACATATTTTTCTTTGCCTTTTACACATAAGCAAACTGAGGTTCAGAGAGGCTAAGTCACTTAGCAAGGTCACATGAGTTAATAACTGTTTAACGAGAGAGCTAAGTTTTACAACCAAATGCAGAGCATGCACCATTATACCATGCTTCCTTCTATATGTTTTACCCACCAATGACACTATTTTATGATCACTACTGATAAGATTTATTCATTCAGTTATCAAATATTTGCAGAGTGCAGCATATCTGCTAGACATGTGGTTAGGCATTGGGGTGCAATGATGAGCTTAAACATCGAGAATGGACTCTAGTTTGGAGGATGAACATTTATCAAATAATTACACAAATGTCATGTTACGAGAGTATGAAGTGCTCAAGATAGGTACAGGGAGAAATAAGTATTTGTAACTTGGGACTTCACCTGAAAATTTGGGATGGTTCTTTAAGAAAGAATCACTTGAGCTGAGACTTGAAGGGAGAAATTTAATTGGATGTCATGGGAGGAAAATATTCAAGTAGAAAGGACCTGTTGAGGCCAGGAGCTATAGGATGTGGGTAGAAGATTCTTGTGACCACAAGGGAGAGAGGTAAGGGGAGTCCAGTGCAAGATGACACTGGAGAGGCAGACAGAGATCAGACCATGCAAAGCCTCTTAGGCTCCCTAAAGGTTTCACCCAGGGGCACTATGAACAAGGACCAGGTTTGTTGAGAAAATATCACAAGTTCAGTTCTGTACAAGATGGGTTTAAGTTATCTCTGTGATAATCAAGAGGTAATGTCAATTAGACAGTTATGATTCACATCTGGAATTCAGAGAAAAGTTCTGGGTTAGAGTTTGAATTTGGACTTCATGTGTGGTTAGGCAATCACTAATACAATGGGTATGTTTGAGATCATCTGGAGAGACTGTACAATGCAAACTGGAAGAAGCTTAGGATGCTTTGAGGAACCCCCAACCTTTGCCCTTGTTTTTTACTACCGACAACCATGACATTTAATGATTGGGTAAAAGAAGAGAACAAAGAGAAAAAAAGTAGCATCCAGAGAGAATGGGGAACAAACTGGAAAATTTTTATTGTAGAAGCCAAGGACGAGAGTTTCATGAAGGGAGGAATGGTCTGCTATTCTAAATGCTACCAAGATACCAAGGAAGGTGAAGACTAAAAATGTCTGTTGATGTTCACAACATTGACATTTTTACTGGCCTTAATGGTATATCCTGTCATTCAAACAGCATGTCCTCTTCTGAATTTTGCTGTGCTCCTTATATTTAGTTTTAAGTTACAGTAAGCTAGGAGTGTCTGCCAGAAATCACTGGAGGTCAAGGCACAGCTTTGTATGAATTCTTGCATGGCTCTATCTTTCTTTTAATATGTCAATTCCTATATACATACATACATACAGCATATAGTTTTCCATGATTTATTAAAATCCTAATGAGCAAACGTTTCAGTTTTTAGATCCATCAGATAAATAGAAAATATTTCTGGCATCAATGATTACACTTTATTTTCTCTCACACAAAACCAGGCTTTAGAATAAAAGTAACATAGTAAGCGAAAATTGATTTAAAGATATACTGAATTTTTCTTTCACGTATAAATATTCTCTTTAGATTTTTTTAAAGTAAGAAATATTTAGTGATCACTTGCCATGGTCCAAACTCAGTACTAGGAATGGGACTCCAAGCAAATGAGATAACTATAAAGAACAAAGTCCAGTGTACAATGCTGTATTGTCTTGTCTCCTTCTTTCTCTTGTAGTTCACGCTGTGGACTTTCTAAAGATGTGGTGTTTTTGACCAAATATATGTAGATTTTGAAGCTGCATAAGGAAAGATAGTGCCTCTTAAAACATTTGCCTGTGCTTGAAGAAGCAATGCATGAAAATTGGAATATCAAAACGTATGCAGTCCCTCTGTGGAGTGCTTTTTATTTGATTAGACCTACTCTTTACATGTTAATCACACACACAAATACATACCCATGAACATATGTACACAACTATAAAACGTATTATAAAAGGGGGTTGTCAGAATGAGAATTTGTTTTTGATTGACTTTAATTTTTCTGAAATTAAGACATCATAGTGACATTTATAGCCCATAGCAAAGTCAATATTTATTTTATTTATACTTTGTATTTTAGGATATATTTTATAGAATATGCATGGAAAAAATAATTTTAGGGGTGTTTTCAGTGCTTTTATTATCCTCAGAAGAACACAGTTTAGCCAGACTTCCTCTAAGACAGCAAAAAAAAGGAATCCTTTCTAGTCTTTTGCCCAGAAAAAGTGCAGTCAATTATTGGTAATTACAAGCTTTCAAACTTAGAAAAGTCTAAGAAATATGACTTAATACCTCACTACAACTTGGGTTGTATATGAAAAGTAAGGAAATTCTCCTGTAGACAGACAACTTTGGAATGTCCCAGACATAAAGAAATGCTCACTTACCTTCATAGAAAACTTTTAATACATTGATTTCTTCTTGTACTAGAAAACTTTGATGAGTCGCTGGTGACAGTAATTGGTATTTCTGTCTTCTTGGTTAATTTCAGAGCACATTCAGAAAATGAAGGTACCTCTTTACCATCTGCCGATTCCTGTACCAGTCCTACTAAGATGGATTTATCATACAGTAAGACAGCTAAGCAGTGCCTAGAGGAGATATCCGGTAAGTGACCTGATTGGTGGGTAGGTCAAACTCAGAATTTTTATGATCTCTCCATAAGTCTTTTTATTAAATCATATTTATGCTATACTGTTTTCCCTTAGGCATAAATGGACTGTGTACATTTCATGCTTCAGAGATGCTTAGGTATTTGACTATTCTGCTTAGAATGGTCTCTTTGTTGCTCTGTAATGAATTCTGTAAAGAATGGTAGTGCTCTCAGAGGCTGAGATTTTAAGTCATGGTTGCCCTCAGTCTAGTTGAATACTATCAGAGAAGACCTGGAGAATCTTCTATTGTTAATAAGTCAGTTCTTGAATATATCTAGAGATTTAAAAAAATATTAATGATCAGATGGCAATGTAAAATTTCCAAGGCCTCCAACCCTGCTCTGTCTACAGTTCTGTGTTATTTTGAACATTTCTACATAGTGGCTCCAAATGTGTGTTCTGGGAAAAATCTAATTATGGAAATATCTCATTATATATAAATAATGTAAGAAAAATGACATATACATACTCCAGACCCCATTTGTCAGATTCTCAGCTTTAGTCCACTATTTTTCCTAGGATCCGGATAAGCCTAGGCACATATGGAAGCCCTTTGGTATAATTTTATTATATATAGGGCCATATGGACCTATATAATATATAATATAGGAACTAAGTAGGCTCTTAACGTGATATACTGCTTCTAAGGGGAAAGACAGTTTAAGAACATTTTATGCGTTTCCAAGTATAAGAATGCATGGCAGTAGAGGTATGTCTTTTGGTCCAATAAATCTCTGGCTCAGCTCTTATATATTCCTAAGGAAAAAACTAAAAGAACTATTTAAATTTTAAAAATTGCTAGAGTAATCCTAGAACTCAAAGTATTGCTCTGAAGCTCATGAGCATAGCCATATCACAAATTTGGAGGTTAAGAAATTTCCTCACTTCAGCAGACTTGAAACACTTCGGCAAGCATTAGCAGTTACTGCAGTATCCATCAATGGATATTGACAACAATGACAGCACAACATCCCAAGGATTCCTTTTGGAATTAACATCAGTGGTATCATAGGCTTCAGAGTTTTCATGTGGAGATTACAGTGGGCCAGTTCAGGGTAAGGGCAGAAATGGTAATGCAAGGCATAGCTATAGGGATGCTTGTAGATTTTTCAAGCACTTGGAGAAAGTGTTGGTTTTCCGTAGCTCCAGATAGCCCCTTGGTGAATGATGATATGTATCTGTATTGTGACTAGATATTATTTAAACATAGTGTGGAACGTTTCACACATTTCTTTACTCATGCATGTCTTCAATTAGTATCAATATGCCTACAAAGTACTAGAGCTCAAGTCTGTAGGAGAAAATGCATTTAAGTACACTTTGAATTCTAATTTTTATGTGATTTTCACAAAGAAACCTTGTTTTTCTGAAATCAGTATATCGCTTAGTATCTCTGATTGAATCAGTAACCCATGTTTGATCTTTTTTCCTCCAGTTTCTTATTCTTTTGACCATTTAATCATTTTTTATACTTCCAGTTAATATTTCTATTTATGTAAGTCACATCATTATGTTATACACCTTAAACTAATACACTGCTACATGCTAATTATATCTCAGTAAAACTGGAAAAAAACATTTTTAATTTCCATTTAATGTTCTGATTTTTAATAGAATATTTGAAAGTGAAAAATAAACTAGACTTTAACATTATACAATAGCCTGATGGATTTATTAGAAGGTGTAATATTAATTTATGTCAATAAGTATTGATATAGAATCATAGATTTGAATCTATGATTTAGATAGGAATAAAAGAAAGAAAATAGCACATAAGTGCTGAAATGAGGCTTATCTGATTATGTCATTCCCACGATCATTTGTTTAAAATGAGTCTATACTGGAGTACTGAAAATTTCTCTCAATGCAAACTTGAGATTTCATGAAAGAAAGATATTTATGATTAGAAAGCTATAAATTGAGTACCATAATTGGAGAAATGTAGATGAGAGTATACTGGTGGACCAGTGATGAGAGGATGACAGTCATAAGGAAGTAGGCCAGTGACAAGGGCAGAGCTGGCATTACCCTGGCCTTTCTTCTAATGATCTTGCCTTCTAATCCCTCCTTGAGCTACTTATTCTCCTGTTCGTACCCTACATCTGGGCACCGTTGGAATCTGCAGCTTCTCTATAATCTCACTTCCATGCACCCCACTCTTGCTGATGACATCCTCCTATCCTTTCAATGCCCTTCCTTTCATTCTCTGACTCTGACACTGGTTCTACTAAGATTCCCAATTTATTGATCCCACCACCATTTACTTACCCTCACCAAACTCTACATATGCTTTCTTCCTTCCTTAATCAGATGAATTCCTATAGTGACTGAATGTGATTTTACTTTTACATATACCCTTTACTCCCTTACACCTCTTTCACTTCATTGTTCTCATTGGATGAAACCACAGACCTAGTAACATTCAGGTCTCCACCTGGTCCATACCAGCAATGAATGAACCTAGAGAAAAACACATCATGTGTTGATGCGATTCACTTTACATTCATGACCACCAACTTCAAGTGAGTAGTTAATGCTGCCCGGCAATCATTCTGTATTTCTCTGGTGCATTTACTCTTTTTTTGTCATCTAAGAACTTGAGATTGTTCTTAGATGACAATTTTATACCTTATCTCTTCTTTACAAAGCTACAGTGCCACCTCTCCCATCCTTTCTCTTAACTGATGACCTTGATGTTGATATCACTAAAAAAAAAATTAAGCAGAGAGAAAAGAATTTCACAAACCCCTGCCACCATATCTACCCATGTACGGCATTTTATACCTATTTACTTCACTTTTCCTTGGATTACTTTCTTTTCTCCCTTATCTCCCTCTATACCAAACGACTCTCTTTAGCCCCACAGGATGCTGCCATCTCTGCAATCTTAATTTAAAACAAAACAAAACAACTTTCCTTGACCCCTTCCACAGCTTTCTTTCTCTATCTAATTTCTCTTGTTGCTACTATATTCTGGCTGCTAGGGAAACCACAAACCACATGCACACTTGAATTTAATGCCACGTCTTAGACTAGCCCTTAGAATATTTCTTCAAAGACAGCATGAGATATGAGCAGGTAAGTGTTCTAGGAAGTAGAAAAAATTAATCCTGGCCTCTGCACTGCCGTTATTTTGTTGTTTGCATTGTCCCTTAGTTCCCTTTTTTGTGAGGTGACTATAGTGATGCTTAATAAACTCAGGATTGTTGTGAGATACGGTTTTATTCTTCCATCCATCTTTTCAGTAATCATTGCCAGGTACGTTATCAATGCCAAGTATGCCAAGGATTGGGAAAACAAACATGACTAAGACATGAGTTCTCCTATGGAGGAATAAGAGACAAATAAACTTTAACACCACAAATAATTGAATTACTAGATTTATGGGAACAACTAACTTAACTGTAAAGATTTATACAGGGCCTAAAAGAAGATCACACATGTGTATAGTAGAATTCTAATGGGTAAAGAAATCAGGAAATAATATTTCAGGAAGAAACAACTTCAATGGAAGTAATTTGAAAAAAAGTTTTACTTGTTATTTTTGTCTGTTTCTTATTGTAAAAATGGGTACTTTTGGGATTTGAGTAGCTCAATGATTTTCAATGCCAGTTTCAATGCCAGTGCTACTGTTGAAGCCTTATTGCTAAAGGTTGCTGTGGGGACCTCAGTGGGGAATAAATCTGTCCTGTTCTCCAGGTGAAGTAGCCTAAATAATAGAGAACTCTGATGGAGTTAGTCTTGGCTGGATAAGATCCAGGTTTTGTGAATTTTTGAAGCCTATAAAATTTGGAGGAGCCTGGAAATAATTTAAAAAATACAAAGTTACATTGGCTCAACCAAGTTAGAAGCTCTATATATTAAACACCACTTGCTTCACAGTAGACGTACCTCGATGTCCTGGTATAGTTTTGCCTGACCAGCATCCATTGCTGCATCTGCTAATAACAGCCCCTTGATTTTCTTCTGGGGAACCATAGCCCCATCAATCTCTGTTCATGTAGTTCAAATGAAATTGACCCAAGCAGATCCATTCAGAACAACCCATTCCGTTGACCACAGTGACTCTTTCAGGAGTGGACAACTGACCCAATTCAGTTCAATCAGAACCAATGAGAATCAGTCTCAGAACTTTTCCTGGCTGTTAGGAAAGAGACACTCCGTTTTTCCACTAGACCTGAAGCTGATCAGAAGAAAGCTTGGAGCTGCTGGCAGTTTCCTTCACCCTCGAGTGAAACAAATGTAGAGAAAACAGAACCTAAAGCAGAAGAATATTAGCTCAAGGTCTTTGTAGAAAATGTCTGAGCCCCTGAACAAGCCACGTCAGAGACTCTGTCTCCCTCCTTCCCTGCACTTCTCTGTTGTGTTACCCAGGGAAATCCCTTCTTGTACTTAAACAAATGTGAAAAGCATCCCTATTGCATGACCTGTGAGATGCATGACGTGTAAAGATCTATGATACTGTTAAGGAGAAAACTTGAATAGTTCACATTGAAAAGCAGATTTGTTGAGAGGCTTAGCTCTACATTTCCTCTATGCAGTAACTCATTTGAATTTATAAGAACAGTGTCTTCATAATTAAGTGGTAGCAGAAGTTAAAAACGTAGTTAAATTGTGGTGTGAAGATAAGTATCAGAAATGAGTTACACAATAAAATGGCATATGCTGGAGAAAACTCAAGACTTTTACAATTTGGAGACCTTTTATCCCTCCAAAGTCTTTATGTATCTCTCTCAAGTTTCCCATTATTTGTCATGTTCTTAGGGAGGAAACTGTGATATTTACCCAATCTGATGATGGTGGTTCTATTAATTATTACAGTCAGGTGATATGCATTATATAATTTGTGACAAAGACCAAGTGAGCTTCTTGCTTCCAGCCTATCCTTAAGTTTCATGCCATGACCTCAATATTACAAGTCCAGCTGAACTGATGGTTTAGATTTTACTGCTT